AATCCCCTCCCTCGACCTGCTGGCCACGCTTCTCTTGATGCAGCCCAAGATCCAGTTGGCTTTCTGGGCTGCAAGCGCACGTTGCCGGCTCATGCTGAGCTTCTCATGCACCAGTACCCCCAAGTCCTTCTCCTCAGGGCTGCTCTCAAGCCACTCTCCGCCCAGCCTGTACTTGTGTTTGGGATTGCCCCGACCCACTTGCAGGACCTTACACTTGGCCTTGTCAAACTTCATGCACTTCACGCAGACCCACCTCTCCAGCCTGTCAAGGTCCCTCTGGATGGCATCCCTTCCCTCCAGTGTGTCAACCACACCACACAGCTTGGTGTCATCGGCAAACTTGCTGAGGGTGGACTCAGTCCCACTGTCCATGTCACCGACAAAGATATTGAACAGCCCCGGCCCCAGTACCGACACCTGAGGCACACCAAATTTTACCAGATCTGCAACAGCACAAACATTCAGTAGATGTCAGAAATTGCAGAAACGTCATTAAGAAGGAGTGTTGTGGAGTATGCATGAGAACAAACCAGAAATAAAGTAATTCATAATCAGTATTCCTAGATTGCAGCAGATGCTTCTATCCCTACCTTTTAAGTTCCACTATCTATATTGCAGAGAAGAAAAAAAAATGGAGGAGGCTGGAAAAAAGAGGCCAAGGAGAAGTGTGGCATACTATTATCGTACATCCCTATAGAACTGTAAATTTCAGATGTGTGCTCTTCGTAAAAGCACATTTCACGAAATGGAAACTGTATTCTGCTGTCCATTACAGCAGATGTAACAGACAATCATACCTAAATGTTTTTCTATGCAGCCTAATACTGATGAGCTTTAGGGCACTGAAATGCTCTGAGACACCTAAGAAACTAAAGATTCAAAACATCTATATTTTAGTATCATCATTTGAAGAACAAGTCACGCTTTTCAAATTTCTTCTTACAACCCAACAAGACAAATTTAAACCGAGCAAAAGGTAAACAGCAGCCCTCTTAACTAAGTTGGGAGTTAAAAAAATCTTTATGAAAGGAACAGAGGACACAGAAAGAGAGAGTGAAATGGATAAAGGTGTAATAATCCTTTTTTCACTGCATGGACATCGCAACCACCTTTTTTCTAATACATAAAATCCATTCCTAATACAGGAAGAGTGAGAGTCTGAGACAGAGGGCCATGTATATAGCCATCTAGTACTTCTCCAACAAAAAGGACGCTGAGTGCAAAGCCATGCTATTTAGCTGCAACACTGCATCACTGCCTCCTTCCCTACGCACCAGACACCTCTGCAACTGGCATACAGGCACATGAACATGAGCAAAGCCAGCATGCAGCACTGCAAACATGGGAAGACCTCCAAGCAAACAACTCCTAAGTCAAAGTCAGTTGTGCATTAATCCTCACGCATTAAGATTGACGGGCACGACTTTGCAAGTTGGCTGATGATACAAAACTGGGAGAAGCGATGGATACACAAGAAGGCTGTGCTGCCA